GAAAGATCCAGAGGCAGCAGTGTGTGGCCCTCTCTCATTCAAACGATGCAGAATGTTTCAGTGACTTACTGAGACCCTACTGTGGTTAAGCTTGACTTGTTGGCATTGTGAATAGCAGAGAGAAGGAAGAGTTAATATGTTTGTCTCCTTGTTCCTGACAAACTAAATATCCATGACTTGGAACAGCAAGGCCCTGGACATCAAAAGCTCTCTGTCTCTGTCTCTGTCTCTCTGTGTCTCTCTTTGTGTGTCTGTGTCTCTGTGTGTCTCTGTATGTCTGTGTGTCTGAGTGTGTCTGTGTGTGTCTCTGTATGTCTGTGTGTGTCTGAGTGTGGCTGTGTGTGTGTGCATATTGCACACTCGTGGACTTCTTCATGTATATGGGAGAGTGAGCATATATGCATACGTGTATGTAGAGGACAGAGATACAGTGGCCAATGGCTGATGTCATCCTCTATTGCCCTCTGTCATACACATAGCAAGCATCCTTTTGACCTTGCCTGGCTCTGTATTTGCAAGCTTTTGACTTTAGGAAGTTCATGCCGCAGCTCTTCAGTATTGGTCACTGCGACAGCTTCAGTTGATGGACACACCACAGTTTCTGATGCACTTGCTTTGCTTCCAGTGGCAGGGGTGGGGGAGGGATTCCAAGCAGTGCTGTAGAGAGCCTCCCACACATGCCTTACCATGCATATGGACACGCTTCTATGCTTTGTGTACCCACAACATGCCTGGGTCACAGGCTACTCATATGCCCTGCATCAGTGGCTATTGTGAAAACGTTTTTTTGGAAGTTTAGCTAATTTGCGTCAGAATCCCATTTTCTCCACACCTATCACATAGTGTGCATAATACACCCGCTGTGTCCAGGAGTTCACAAAGTAGAACATGAAATTTCTGGAATTTTCTCTCATAGCACAGAAATACGTGGGATAATTTCATTGCCGAACCATGGAAGAGACCTGCATTCTATCTACACGCAATGGCAAGGAAGGAATAAAATGTGTATTCCTGCAAAACAGAATGATGGCAGAGAAGTGTGGGGAAACAAACAGGCAAATAATCAGTTCCTTAAAATTATTTTTGATGTTTTGCCAATCTATGGAGCAGGCAAAAGATCAGAAACTCAGGACCAGCTTCAGTTCATTAAGTGAGTTTATTAGTTGATTGGTTGGTTTTTAGCTCAGGTTTTGCTTCAGCCCCCACCCCCCCACATCCATCCATCTATCTATCTATCTATCTATCTATCCATCCATCCATCCATCCATCCATCCATCTATCTATCTATCTATCTATCTATCTATCTTTCATCTGTATTTCTCCACACCGTGTGTGTGTGTGTGTGTGTGTGTGTGTGTGTGTGTGTGTGTGTTTCTTTGTTTTTAACTCAGGTTCTTACAATATTCCTTGAAAAAGTGAAATCTTGGTAACATGTCTGTAGGTATCCTGGCTAGGAGCACCTTCCTCAGTTTAACCAGTAGCCACTTTGAGTTGAAATTTTAAGTATATTTAAAGTCCCTTGGGATGTAATATCACATGACACAAAGGTTCTCAAGGAATGTTGATTTTTGTATGAGAGAAGCTTTATTAATTTAATATTTAACCCTCATTTTCACATCCCTTCCAAATTCTTGTAATCCACAAATTTACTTCACCTGGCAGATCAATATTGACTGCTTTGGGCCAGAACCAAAGCCTCAAACTGAACACACTTGATCCAGCTTTCTTTCCCCTGCAGTGGAAACTGCTTAAAGCAAGTTACATTTGTGGGGTTGGCGCCATTAAGTTATCCTGTGACACCATATGGAAGATTGAAACAGTAAAACAATTTATTCTTTAGGTATTCTGATTGTGAGAGCAACTTAGTAGCTAGATCCATTCAGAGCACCCAAGAACCACTCTAGTCAAGTGTCTAAAAGTCAAATTTGTAACTTCAAGGAAAAGAAAACATCAAGTTAAAAAAACAAACAAGGATCCGGAGAGACAGCCCAGTAGTCAAGAGTAGTGCTTGCTGGGAAAGCGGGAGACCTAGTGCAGATCCTAGTGTACGTAGCAAGCTGTACATCTGGCAAACTCCTGCACCCCCAGCTCTGATGGGCATGGAGGAAGGAGATCCTGGAGCTTGCTGGCTTGTAAGACTAGGAGTTAAAGCTTAGGGAGAAGCCCTGCCTCAAAGGAATATGTGGAAAATAATGAAAGAGAATATCCAAAGCTCTCTTCTGGCCCCCACAGAAGTACAGAAGCACACATAACTAGACGTGGACATGTGCACACACATACACATAAACAAATCTTAAAAAAAAAAACAAATAAGAAACTTAACATATCATCTAAATTATAAAGTGTGCTATACAGATGGCTTTGGCTTCTGTCTCAAGGTGGGTAAAATCTGCTATGGCTTAAACTGTTAGTTTCATATTTTGAGATTATTAGTGATTTAAATTTTCTTTTTATATACACGATTACAGTTTTCAAAATTTTTATGATGATTATTAGTTACCATCAAGCAATCAGAAAAGGTAATTTTGAAAATATTTTTAAAAAAATAGGCATAAATAAAATGTTAACTGGGCTGTGGAATGATGGCTAATCTTTTTCTTCTTACCTTTCTCTAAGGTCTAACTTAGTGTGCATTCATGCCTTTTATAAGAAAATACAAAACATTAATTTTCAAAACGCATCTATGGAATATGATCTGTTTGTAGCTTCAGTAGGGCCTGGGCAAATTCCTTAGGTACTAAATGGATCGATCCTGCCTATGTGAGTCTCTTGCTGTGTGAGTCTTTGCTAAGTCACTTGGTCTCTCTGAGTCTCAATCTTCCCATCAGTGAAGTGTGAAGAACATCTGTATTATAGGATTGTTACAGCAGCCAAATAAGCTCACAGGCATATAGGATACTGGGCTATCAGTGACCTAGAAAGCATAGTTGTGTATTTGAAGTGCATCCTCCCATTGGTAATGATCTTAGGCATAAAACACGTTCATCAGCTGTTCTCAACACGTGGGTCACGACATGATGTGGGGGGTGGAACGACCCTCTCACAGGGCTTGCCTAAGACCACCAAAAAACACAAGTATTTACATTACAGTTCATAGCAGTAGCAAACATACAGATATGACGTAGCAACAAAAATAATGTTATGCTGTAGAGGTTTTTGGCTGTTCCATCATCCTTCTAAAATCCTGATGTAACATAAATACCCTCCCTTCACCGACTTTAAAGTGGACCTGTGAAAAGGGGAATTTGTGCATTAATATGTGACATTTGCATTCTATTTATAAAAATAACCATCTCTCCTGGTTTCAGGTATCTTTGATCTTCGAGCACCACATTCACACTGAGTTCTCGTGACATAAAAGGGCTATCCATCTCTTCTCATTGTTTTTAATGTTGCATGAGTGTATGAATATGAGCTGCCGATATGATTGCTTATGTATTACACATTTACCCTCTCTTATCACAGTATTTTTTAATTTGTGTGCTGAGAAATTCAGAATTGAGTGTTTTCCTCCTTCATCATCATCATCACCACCATCATCATTTTGAGAGCCCTGGCTGTCCTAGAATACACTGTATAGATGAGTCTGGCCTCAAACTCACAGAGATTCACCTGCCTCTGTCCCAGGTACTGGGATTAATGGCTCATGACACCATGCCTGGTTGGCTTACTATTTTTTTTTTTTAATGAGTAAAATGGGAATGAAACTTCTCCTCCCTGAATCACAGACTGAATCCAAACACAGGGTATCCCCTCTGCTTCCTGAGTCTGTGTATAGTGACAGGCAGGGGCCAAAAAAGCAAGAAAATCAAATAATGGTATGTGTGAATTCAAGTTGAAGTAAGCAACCAGTCCCGAGGTTTGACATTTGGGAACGAAATGGGACATTTTGAGAGTGAGGACATTTGCACTGGGGACTAAACTGTGGCCAGGAACGGAGCATCCCCCACTGCCCCACAGCACGGAACAAGGTCAAAGTGGCTCACTACATCAGGGCCCTGACTCTCCAAGTCAGACGTTCATGTTACAACGAACACAAGATGACAAGGCGTGTTTTTGTAATTCCTCAATTTAAAAAAAAAATCTTGTGTGTGTGTGTGTGTGTGTGTTCAATGTAATCGTCTTTTGTAATGTTCTGATTTTCAGGGGGAAATAACCTCCTGCGGACATTCCACTTTACTGATGACAGACACTTTCCTTTCCAATGGTTTCAATAACTGTACAGTGTGATACACAATAATTCATAGGTCAGCCATCCGACCTATGAATATGAATTCTTTTGCCTTCACAGTACTTTATCCATTGGAACCTATGTAAACACACCTGGTTTGTTTACTGATTAGAGTCAGGATGTAATTTCAACACATGTCTCGTTTCTTCTGTATGTTTGATGGACTCATGAGTTGAAAGTCAGGTTGACCAGATTTATCTTATAAATTATTGGCTCCACAGACTTGGGGAGACAGCTGTTTAGACTCCACGGCTGCACTGTAGCATCTATAAACTACAGAAGACATTATACAGGTCAGGTGGCTATTAACACATTCCTGCCATACACAGGAAGGCACCGTTAGCACTGTTAACAGTTCCCTATCAACATCTTTTTCTTAAATGAAGAAATAATACCTACCTGCCATACCTTGCCCATGATTATAAAGTCCTTCAGCATTTCTAAGCATGTTGAATGAATAAATATCCAAGTAGTGAAACTTTAAAAGAAAATGTAACCACTCTTTCTTTTCTACTCTTAGATTAAACTGCCTTCATCTTTCACTGTTCCAACTCACCGTCTACAGAGCTGAAGGCACTCTTATTATCAACAGCAATGTAAGCTGGTTTGGTGATGCAAGCTTGTAAACTTGGGATGTGGGAATTTGCTGGCAGGAAGGATCGGAAGTTCAAGGTCACCCTCAGCTATGTAATGAGTTTGAGGCCAGCCAGGGGTTTCATGACACCCTGCCTCAAGGATCAAACAAAAGAAACCAGCAGACTACAGCGACTGGAGTTTAGTTATTTCTAGCAAAATTCAATTTTTGCTTCCAGGCTTAAAGATCTCTTTGGGTAAAAATAAATGAATAGTAATAAATAAAGTTTCAGTGCAGACTGTACAATGAGGTTTTTTTAAAGCAGCAATCACTTGCCCATGTTGTGAGTTTAAAATGTCCAATTTGTTCATGCCTCTGTCACTTTTATCTATCCATATTTTTTATACTTTCCCAATAAATTTACACTAGCTTTCATATGTTACTTGAGTCACTGGTAAAGTACTCCATTGACCTCTAATTCCTTCAAGAGACCAGTGCTGGCCACTTTGCAAATAATCTCTGCCAGGCTTTGAAAAGAGTATGTCTGGATGCCAAAGACCTCACAAAATCATCTGGATTGATGTCCTCCAAAAGGTGGTTTTCTGTAGCAAGAAATGTCCTTGTCTCATGACACTGTCCTCAAGTTGCCTGTGTTTGTCACATCCTACTTCTCCAAAGTTCCATTGTTCTCCAAACTGAGGCTCAAACTAGGAACTGTTCTTTGTGGTCTCTATTCTGCATCCCTTATGGAAAGCTAATCCCAGAGAAAGCCGGAGAAAGGTGCAAGTAGTGGATTCCATAGGAGATGGAGCCACAGTCTTCAACTAAGTCCGAGAGGAAAGCAAGGTTATGCCTTGGGGGTTCTTTTCCAAATTCCAAGTTGCAACAGGTCCAGGAAGAAGTCACTCTGGAATCCCTTCTTCCCTAACCCTCAGTGACCAGAGTTGGAACAGCATCGTTCTCAGGCAGAATGAGGCAAGTGTCCCACGGGGTACTCAGTGCAATTCTGGGAAACTTTAGGGCAGACACTGGAGGAGAAAAGAAACACACAACTGAAAGTTGGGGTGTTTTTAACACAATGTGTAGAATCTAGCCACCCACACACCATCCTCTCCCGGAAATGCCATTTCCTCTTCCAGGAAACAAAGGTGTGGAGAGTTCTGAGCAGCAGCTGGGTATCTGAAACAAGGAAAACAAACTCTGATAGAAAGAAACACTTTGCAGCCTGGGAATGCATAGTTGGTCCTGCAGCAGAAGGAGGTCAAACAGTCGCAGGTTTCCACAGCACTTGACATAGACCAAGAATACAGTTACATGCTTATGTTTTAAATACACTGTTAAGGCCAAAATAAAATCATTTTTCTGAGACACATGATAGAATATTATTTCAGAAGATCCAGCTTTCAGAGTAAAGAACTTCTAACCGTTGAACTCTATAGTTATAGGATATCAGAATACCACAGACCTTCCAAACCCCGAGGTTCTAAAGCAATGGAAGGCAAATACTAAAATCAATGTTGTAGGAATGGAGGTTGTATTAAATCATGTTTAAGAGGGAAACTAAAGAGTACTCAAGATTTGAATACTGATTCTGATTCTTTCTAATCATGTAATATAATATAATAACATAATGTATAATAACATAATGCTGATTATATTATATAATACTTCAAGACATTATTTTCATGTGTCAAGTGGGGATAATAATAGTGGTGATGACATCAACTACCTCATTCCATTATGAAGGTAAAATAAACAGTGTATCTAATTCCGCTCACCACAGGCCTCCTATATAGAAGTATTTACTATGTTGCCTACATCCTGCCATTTTTATGTAACCCTTTAAACAGGCTGAATTACAGAAACAGACTTAGGCTGTAGGTCAGTGGTAGAGTGCTTGCCTGGTCTAATCCTCAACAGTGTGTTTTACATAATTAATCAGAGGACATGAGCCTCTGCATATATTTAACCTCCTAAGACACTCAGTGGGAACCACAGTCATGGGATAGTAGATGCTTCCTGACTTTAGGCACAGCTATGTGATGACTCTGTCATCTCTCCCCTACCCAGTAGGATCCACTGAAGACTGGCTGAAGAAGCCACGCTATCCACCTTTGAACAAGGGAATCCTCCTCAGACAGGGTCACAGGCAGAAGTAAGGACCATTCTTCCAGCCCTGTGACCTTGTTCCCAAGCATGACACACTTTTCTGCCAAATGTAATGGCTAAAATATAATGGAGGCCTATTATGTGCCAGTCATTGATGTCCGGATGACATAGCACTTCAGGGCTGGAAGCACAGCCTCGTATTGTAAGATCCTGACAGTTCAGTGCTTAGGATCAACAAATATAATGGCCAAGTGGGTTAATTTTTTGACCAAATATTTTTGTAAACTTTAAAAATGTGTGCATTGGCTTTGATGGGTTCATAAACATTATAGGAAGAGTTACCGTATGCAACCCCAAGTATCATTTGATCAAGTCACCAAGCACTTGATGCACCAAGCACCAAGCACAATGTCTCAGTGTGTCATTTATAGAGTACATTAGAAGCTGAAACTTTCAGTACCTTGGGGTCATTTAAAGATGGTGCATGTCAGTGATCAGAAGCCTGCTGAGGAGAACATGAAGAAGGGTGGAGTAGAAACGTATTAGTATTTAATTTCTCATACTAATCTGTCCTCTACTACACAATAAAAATGTCATTCTACAGAGTACAGGAAAATCTACCACCCATTGTTATGGACACCCTTTATGATCATCATGAACATTAGCAGCATGGCATAAAAATTCCTAAAAAGACAAATACACCCTAGTGATTCAAAGTTGCTGCTGAAGAGCTGTAAAGTTTACAGCGGTCCAAAACATCAAAAATCACTCGTAAGACTCAACCAAGGAGCCTCCATACCAGACAGAGCTGCGCCCCAAACCCACTCGTAGGTAATTAAAAAGCAAACTAAAACAAAAGCAACCCTTGCAAGCCCTTTGTGATGCAAAATGGATTAAATAAAACACTTCTTTCTACCGGTGACCTTAGCCCTTCCCACTGGTGGCTCATTTACAGTTTTTCAGCTGAGCGAGAAGAGACTGCTCTCGCGCCCCCGTTTCTGGCACTCAGGCGGCTGAGGCTCTGGCGTCCGTCCCGCTTCGCGCTGCCTGCGGCGTCGCTCCCCGCCCGGTGACTGTTTCATCCAGATCTCCCGCAGTCTCTGGGTCCCAGTCGCCGCAGAGCGACAAGTGGCCAGTGAGGCGTGAGGATGGAGGGTGGGGACAGAGCCAGCAGGAGGAAGGCCGAGAGCGCTCGCGGAACGCAACCAGGCGCGCGTCCCTGAGCCGGCGTGGCGAGCGCCCTCTGGCCGGTGCCGCTGCCGGGAGTACCTTCGGGTCGCCAGGCCCGCGCCAGTCCCCGCCATCGGAGCAACAGCGGCGCTGCACTGGGACTACAGCCGCGACACCAGGTAGGACCCAGGGCCCCAAGTCACTAACGAAGAGAGAGCAGGCTGAAAGTGCCAAAGGTCGGGACCTGAAGGGCCACCCGAGTGTCTCTTACAAGTAAATGTTCTAGGGAAGAGTGGAGGACTGTCGAAGTAAGCAGGGGTGAGAACAAAATCGAAAAAAGCAAACTTTGGGGCTCCCCCGTCGTTGGTTTCTTGCGTGCTGGCGACCTTGACCAGGTGAAGGCTGGGGTCAGGGATGGAGGGGCGCTTCTTTCTTACTTTTGCTTTTCCTTAGCACCCAAGGAAAGGCAGACTAGGAAAAAGGAAAACAGTTGCAACTTTATGTGTTCTCCACAAAACAAGAACAAAAACAAAAACAAAAAACCCAGAGACTTGTAAGAAGTGTTTTCTGTCCTAGGAGACCTGCCCATGGAGAACACCTAGTTTTCTGGGAATTTGTAGAAGCGCTTGATTGTGGTTTTTTTGTTTTGTTTTGTTTTGCTTTTCAGGGGCTTGGCTGGATTTTAGGTGTTTGTTGTTTGTTTGTTTTTAAAAGTTGAGGTATTTACTTCCGTAACCTTAGAACGAGATTGTTTTCCAGCTTTGAGGGTCACATGTTAAAATACACTTTATTAAATGTAACCTCTTTGTTCCACTGGAGTTTTAAGAGCCGGGATTATCAAAGTGCCACGGGTGACTTTAATGACTCCATGTGGGCGTGGAGAGAGGTCCAATGTCGGGCTGAACCTTGGTGATTCTGGTGTTTTCTGCAAGGGGAGCGTCACAGGGCTGCCCTGTCCTCTGGGCTGTCCTGACACAATGTGGGCTGGCCATGGTGCTAATAAAAGATTATTCAGTGGTGACACAGCTGGGTATGTGTGGAGATGAGAGGGGGGAGAGAATGAGACTGGGCTCTTGGGCTATCAGTGGGAAAAATGGACCATTTGTGCCGAAGCCCCAGTCCTTTAAGCTGCAGGTGCCTTTTGAGAACACAGACCTAGACAAGGGGATTGTGTGATGGACCTCAGACAAGATCTTGGGGGGTGGGGTGGGGTCTGCCTTTGTCTTCTCAGCCCGACTCATGTGTCCCTTTCATTTAGCAAAGAGAACTTAAAATCTCAGGATTCAGGAGTCAAGGAAACAGAACTTAATGGCTCCATGCATTTTTTTTCCCCTTCCCCTGCTTTATTTTGTGCTGGAAGCCATGCCCACCACTGCTTCCTCCTCCCCAGGGGTTGTTTGCTGGAGAAGCTCTCTTCTAAGATCTGGGGTGCCTCACCCCACTCACACCCCAACCTTGTGAATCATCATCTTCATCCCACCCCACCCCCACTCCCCATCTTTGAAAATGTGTAAAATGGCAGGCTTAGTGCGGATGCTTTCTCTCTTAAGAAAAAAATGCTGTGTCTTGTGGGAAGAAGGGTGACATTTACTAATTTGGTTGCAAATTACTTTTGAAGTTTATGCACAGCTGTTTAAAATCCCTCAGAGATCAGTGCCATTGTTTGATGCAGGTGTCTACCACAGAAAGATCTCGTTAGGCTGTTTCTTTTGCTGATTGAGAGTACATGTATTTGACGATTTAGCCTAGGAAGATCTGAAACCTGCACAGTTCCCTGACAAGTTGAGCAATTCAATCTAAATGAAGGGGATCTGTTTTAGTTTTTACAACTGTTGTTTCGTCTTTTAATCCCCTCTTAGTGACTCTTACTGCCTGTCCCAAGGGTAACCTTTCTGGCATCAATAGTTTTTAATTCCAAGGCCCAGGATTGCCGTCTACACTTTAAAATGGAAGCTTCTCCGGAAGCTTCTTGTTGCCTGATGTTGTCAGGTTCACTCTGCACTGCCTTGTGCTGTGGTGGCTCAGGGTGGCAGTGACTCCTGGACCAATTCCCAACACCTGTTCTCCCATCAAGGCCACCTCACAGCAGGGCCTCTGTATACACTGTATGTGTAGCCACACAGTGGAGCCTGAGACGGCTCTCTCCTCTCTCCCAAGGCTTGCAGGGATGCTGTTCGTACATCCAAACTTGGCTTTTCTAGAATCTCAAAGATTCTTCTCAACACCCCTCTACTTCTCTTATTCTCAGCAGGCCTTGGAAGCTCTCTGAAATGTGTTATTGCATACACATATGTATAAATATACATATTCCTAAGTATAGCCTGTTCAGTCCATATTTTTTAATAGCCCAGAATCTAATTAGTGCTTTCTGTATAACCATAGATATTTGGCCATCCACTGAAACAAGGTCAACTTACTAAAAGCCATACATTTAAAGAGAACTGGCCCTCATTTCCCTTGGGTCACTGAAGCAACCCTGTTGACCTTTATCAAGTTCTGTAAAGACTTCTCATTTTGCTATGACGTAGTCCCTTCTCTCATCTATGGAAGAGACCAATGTTCTGTATAATGATGTCCTTGGAGTCATGTTCAGGAATGTGGGTTTCTGGTCTATAATTTCAGGCATCGAGAGTAAACATCCTTCTAATGCAATATTTAATTATGGAGTGTTTGCCTTTCTTTGAAACAGAAATCAGAATTAATTACAACTCCTACTTCTTAATGCATTTAATGACTTCTAGCTATTGATTATGTTGTTTGCTCCGTGAATATTGCCCAAGTATTAACCAAATGTGACAGCTTGCTAATAAATTTGTATTTGATTTCAAGTGATTTCCTTTTTATAGAGCAAAATATTTAAGTTTCAAAAATAATTCCCTGTAAATCAGTTTGAATATGACACATTGTATTGAGACAGGGTCTCATGTAGCCCAGGTCACTATGTAATGACCTTGAACATCTGATCCTCTTTCCTCTACATTCTTGGGATTTCGGGTGAACATCACAACTCCTGGCCTTACATGATATTTTATTAGACAGTGAATAATGTCTGTGACACAGATCTAGGAAGTACATATATATGTACATAATGTACATATATATTTATATACATGTGTGTATAGCTACACACATTCACACACACACACATATATTTCAATCCCTTCAACTTCATGTGCTTTTTTTTAAATTTTAATATTATTAAAATATTTCCCCTTCTCATATATCCCTCCCCACTCTGCTTCAAATTCATGGTCTCTTTTTTCACTGTTATTGCAAGCACATGTGTATAAACATATATATTCCTAAATATAGCCTGTTCAGTTCATTTTTTTAATAACCCAGAACCTAATTAGTGCTTTTTGTATAACCATAGGTATTTGTCCATCCAGTGAAACACAGTCAACTTACTCAGGGTCATACATTTAAAGAAAAGTGGTCTCCACTTCCCTTTGATCACTAACGGCCAGTAGCTCCTTAAATGGAGTGGAGGCTAGTGAGCTTCTCTTTTTTCCTTGTTGGAATGTCCTGGACTGATTTTGAAGGTCTTGTCCTGGCAGCTAGAGTTGCTTTGGTCTTTGCCCTGGTTGTCATATCCAATGGGTCTTACAGTCAGTCCTTCTGCCCCCTGTTCCATGATGGCTCCAGAGCTTTGGGGGGTGGGGGATATGATGTGATATAAATGTCCTACATATGACTGCACTCATTCTTCATGGCCCCAGTCATTATTTTAAGACTTCCAGAATCTCTGCTCTAAGCATCTAAGCATCATTTAGCCAGTCTAGCCTGTTCAAATCTATTCCAGGAGTTAATATGGAAGTTGTGAGATTTATAGAAATGCAAGATGTGAAGCCAGAAAACTGAATTAAAAGGTGTGTCTTGGCAAAGTTTGAAACATCTTTCATCTCAACCTGCCAGACATTTGTATACAGTCATATTCTGATTACTATGCCATCTCTGCATAATCTTGGCAGGCAGTGGGGGTGGGTTGAAAGACTCAGAAGTTGAAACTATCTCATCTGAGTCCAGAATCATGGGTTTCTGCTTTGGGGTTAAATTGCCATTTTAAGTCCTTGTCTTGGGTGCATGCCCTTCTATAGGTTGCTCGAACGTGTTAGCTTTTGAATTAAGCTAATGGTATTGATGATAATCATAACCAGAACAAGCCAGAGCAACAAAGTTTGGGCTAGGGATGTGAGTGTCTTCATTGATAGAGTTCCTACCTAGCATTCAGGAAGCCCTGGTTCTGTCCTGAGCATGCCGTAAAACAGCCGTACTACTGCATGCGTATAACCCCAGCATTCAGGAGGCGGAGGACAGGAGCAAAGTCATCCTTGGCTGCAAAGTGGGTCCAAGGCCATCCTGAGATACAAGACACCCGCCTAACAAAACAAAACAAAAAGCAAGAAATGATCATTATTACTTATGATTTATATGCTAATTATAATTATTGTCATATCTAATTTTCATAAAAGTCCTCATAAACTAGGTATTCTTATTTTCATTTTATCAGAAGAGGAAACCGAGGCTTGAGAAAGCTAAGTCACTTGCCCAGCTTTTATAACTTGTAAGAGGTGGAGGCAAGTTTGACTGGCCACTGAGTCCTGCTGTGAACTACATGTCAAATAACCTAACAAAAAGTATACATAAAACTGACCATCTTAACCTCTTAAAAAGGATTTACTTAATTCTATTTTATGGGTATGAGTATTTTGTGTGTGCGCATGTCTGTGCACCACAGGCAGGCCAGAGTGGGTGTTAGATCACCTGGGACTGGAGTTACAGGTAGTGAGCTGCCACACGGGTGCTGGGACTGAACTAGTGTCCTCTGGAAGAGGCATAAATGCAGTAATCTCGGAGCAATATCTTCAGCCCCCTCTCAAACACGTCTAAGTGAAAGATTGGACATCTTTATGTGATCATCACTTCCATCCATTAAGCGCTTTTCTTTTGTGTATATGGGATGTGCTTATGT